GAGAGAGAGAGAGTATACAAGGCCTTAAAGTCCGACACACGAGTTATGTTAAAATGGTATTCTCTACAAATATACTCTATTTGTATTCTCAAGCGATGCGACAGTTATTTTTACTCCGTGCTTTGAACATCAACAAAAACTATTTGTAACGAATTTGTTATGTATTTATTTTAATCCGAACGTTGTTCAGATTAAGTTTATACTTAAAAACTTGCATAGCTTATAGTGTTAGATACTGTTGCGTATCTGCTTGTTTGTTAATTTCCGGTAGAAATTAATTCCGAGGAACTTCAGCAATACAAGTCTTTTCTTGATTAAACCAGTTTATTATTTCTCGATACAACTTTTAGTAATACACAGAATTTCCACAGTCACTTTAAATTTAACAACTTTATAACGCACGCTATAAATCACAGTGATTCACACACTTTAATTACAGTGCCTACTGTTCCCTTGACTCAATTATCTCTCTCTTCAATCCCGCAGGTTTTTCTCACCAGGCTTATATACTAAAAAGAGGGCGTCTCGAATGAACTCGGACTTTTATGATCATTCGCGAAATTTCAGTGTGCATGCTCCCAGCGTCACGCGACTTCCGCTGTCGTAACACTGCCGCTTCCTTAGTATTGTTCGTCCTGAACAATAGCCGCTTACATTAAACCAATAGATAATTAACAAAAACTTAATTAAATGTACAGAATTTACAAACACAAAATTGAAATACAACAAAGTCTCTTAATTTTACAGAATATATCTTCTTCCATACTGGTCTCTGTCTCATTGGCTTCTGTTTCACGTGAGGTTCATCTGCACTATCAGGAAACAGTCGGTAACAGTTACATCAGTGGTAGTAACTTCATTAAGTGCTTCACTGTTTCCCTTCTCAAACTGAATAGAGTTTCTTCTTCGACAGTGGCTTTTTCAAGAGACACATCTTCAGCAGCATCATTTGTTCCGGTGTTCCCTTCATTCCAACTAAAATGTCCTAGACTGTGATAATGCCAAAGCCTGTTGGCATGCACCACCTTCGGCTTACCTTACCGACCACATTTTATTCGGAAAGTCACGTCTGAAAGACGTGTCATATGGGCCTTCCCATGGAGAAGACAACTTAGGAGACTTCCCTTTTGTCTTCCTGGAATTATACAACCACACCTTGTCTCCTGGTACAAAGCTGACTTCAGTAGATCTCTTATCATAACATAGCTTCATGGAATCAGAAGACATTTTCAAGTTTGAACACACTTGATGGCAAATATCATCCATCCTTTCAGACAACACTTTCATGAACTTTTTTTCGGGCAACTCCTCGTAACGTGGGCATCCTGTTAACAGATCCACTGGCAACCATAGTTCCTGACCAAACACCAACTTTGCTGGAGTGTATCCAGTGGCTTCATGATCTGCTGTCCTATAGACCATCAACAGTGGAGGCTGTAAG